AGCAAGAAATTAGCGCTCTAAGGGTCATGCCACAATCACTTCTCCTTCAGTCTCCTCTTAGGATTTTGGGCATGCGCACACACGTGCCCAGCATGAGCCTCAAGCCTCTGGGTCCGAGATTTGAATTGTGGTCAGTCACATGGGAGTCCAGAACCCCAACAACTATACCATCTTCTGGCCCCAGAGACTGCTTCCTTTTACAAACTCTAGGCCCTGCTCATGGCTGTTCCAAAATGCCATGGTTTTTGTATCAAGAAGTGAAAGAGAAAGAGAGAGAGAGAAGGAGAGAAGGGGGAAGGAATAAAAAAGAAGGAAAGAGAAATGTAAAAGACAGCAAGGAATATTCATCATGGTTAATTCATCAAGTAAATATCTGAGTGCCTGATGTGTGCAGATACAGGTTTGCAGGGATGAACTGTGCTTCCTACATCTTCACCCAACTCCCCAAGTTACATGATTCCTTCCTCAGAATCAATACAGAGACTCACTCCATGGAAAACAAGTTCCTTTACAGCTCTGCCTCTTCATCAAACTCTCCCTCCACCTTCCACTAAGCCCTTCTCCAAGGCCTTGCTTCTACATCTCATCTGAGTTGAGGCTGTTTATTTTCTGATTCCAGCTATCACAAAGACCTGGAAACAGCTCCCATTGCTGCTTCTTCCAAACTATTGTTTTTAGCTGTTCTGCAAAACCCTGTCCTACTCTGAGGTTTGTGACAGCTCTTAACACTCCCACAAATGATCCACCTCCTAGACACTGCCATGCATTTGTCAAAACGTGGAGTATTTGGCTGTGTCCCTGACATGCCCTAACATTACCTTGAGTCACACACCTACCACTTTCCTCATTCTCTCTAGGTCTCAGCTCTGGGCTCTTATTTCCATCATCAAGTTCAAGACCACATCCTGGCCATACTTTCCTACCCATGGCCTCAAGCCACAAACACATCGACCAATTCATTGGCTTACTCAACAATTTACTGAGCACTTTCTATGTGAACATTACCATGATGGCTAACTGGGACTGTAGCTGAATAAGAGAACCTCTCGTCTCAAAGGGCAATAGTTTAGTAGGAAGATGAACATCAAAAAGGAAGTGATGAAGGTTGAGGAAGAGAAGTACAGAGAACGAACTACAAAACCATGTGGTAGAGACCTCACTGAGTTCCAAGATTAAAAATGCATCATCATTTGTCTCCAGAATTTTTATCCCTTTACTCTTATTTCACACATTCTCCCACCTCACCAAGAGATGCAGGACCAGGTCAGCTGATGGCATGGTGGTAACGGTACTGGATCTCACATGGTCAACTCAACAGTCTGAGTCCTGGACCCAGTACCCTTAAAAACACATCGGGCACATGTGTGTGCATGCCCGAAATCCTAAGAGGAGAATGCTAGAGAAGGGACTATGGCACGGCCATCCACGTTAGAGGGTGATTTCTCACTTTCCTCTGTGTCTGCCTCTCTCTGGCACATGCGCCCTATAGCAAGCAAAGAAAACAAAAAGAGAGAGTAGAGAAAAGAGATGATGACATCGCTATCTTCTCTCGAATTTTTAGTCCTTACCTTCTCTTGCTTTCTACCTATACTAGATACATTAATATGTATTTTTAACCATTCATTTACTGAGACTCTCAATTCTCTTACCTACATATTCTCCTATGCACTACCTGGCAAATCCTCAATCCTGGATCAAGCCAAATGGACTCTTACTTGGGATCCTTGTTCCACAGTCATCAGTTGGTTTGGACCTTCAACTCTACTGTCAGTGTTCTAAGCCTCATTCTCTACAGCATCTATTCCTGTATTCTCCCACTCTTCAAATTCAAAATCCTATCACTACTCTCATTTTGAGTCACTTCAAAGGAAAGAATAGAAACCATTATTCATTTATTAGTTCCGTGAAAAAATATCTGAGTGCCTAATCTGCCAGGTATTAGGTTAGGTGTCAGGTATGCAAATGTGAACCAGAATAAGACAAAAATCCCTGCTCTCATAAGCTTACATTTTGATGGGGGTGAGCTCCAGTAGTAAACACATGCACAAACAAATAATACAGTTTGCAAAAATTTCCAAGTGTTTAAGAAGGTGGAGAGTGGAGCCAGCCTGTTAGATGGGAAGTAAGGAGGAGAGCCACGCAACACTAGGAAGGTGGTCAGGATGGCCTCATGGAAAAGGTGAGATGTGAACACAGACTTGAAGGTGGTGAGGGGGTCAGACAGGCATAGGAGGCAGGGACTGTCTGGGCTAAGTCCCTAGGTTAGGAGCACATCTAGCAGGTGGAGGAACAGAAGAAGCACTGGCTTTCCCTGTGTCAGTCTTCACCTCTGTTATACCCACTAGCTTTGACCCTGTGTGCTTTCAAAGTGGCTATTTCAAATCTTCCTGAGCTCCAAATTTTAATATACTTGAAACATCTTTGGGTGGATGCTATCTTACACGCAACATACCCCAAATGAATGAAGTCCACCATCTTTTTTATTTTTTAAGGATTTTTTTCTCTTTCTTTCTTTTTTATTTTTTTGTTTTTGTTTGTTTGTTTGTTTTGGTTTGTTTGTTTTTGTCACAGGGTGCCTGTGCTTGCCAAGAGACAGACAGAGAGACAGAGAAAAGGAAAGTGAGAAATCGCTCTCTAGGTGGGGTGGCCATCTTGCCATCTCCCTTCCTACATTCTCCTCTCAGGATTCTGGGCATGCCTGTACATACACCTAGCATGAGTTTCAAGCCACCAGGTCTGGGACTCAAACTTAGGTTGGCCATGTGGGAATCCAGCACCTTAACCACCATGCCAACTGCCAGCCCCAAGCCACTATCTTTCTTTGTCACTCATGCTTTTCTTGCATTCCCCAGTTTTTAACTTCTTTCTCTGCTTTACTCACTCCCATCCTATTGGTCACTGATGACTGCAAAATCTACTTCACAAATATATCCAGTTCATCATCTCCCCACACCTTGCCAGGGCCTATCTCAGGTCTCCAATGTGTCTCACCCAAATTAACACAAAAAACTCTCTCACTGGTCTCTCCTCCTGGCCACCACACTCATGACTCAGTATTACAGATATGATCGTACAACTCCTTCCTCTGACGCCCTCCATTGCACTCAGGATAATACCTAAACTCTATGCGAGACACACAAGGTCCTTCGCACTCTGGGCCCTGCCTCTCTATGCAGCTTATCTCCACTGCCCACTGTGCACTCCAGGACACCAGACCATTAGCACTTCTCCAAATATCTGGCTCTCTGTTCCAAGGTCTCCCTTCATAAAGTGCCTCTCCTACCCTACATCCCCTACCCACTTCTACATGTATTTTCTCCTACTCATTCTTTAACACTGAGTGCAGGAAATCTTCGGCAGGACACCCTTCCTAACCCTCCCACTCAAATCTGGTCTTCAATAGGTGGGTATTCTCGGGGCTCCCTCTGGCATGATCCAACTGTTCTGTGATGGTCTAGTGTTCATCCCACTAAGCCCTGAACCACAACTATTTTCAAATATCTATAAATCTATCATCGCACCAGGCACACTGCCTGGCATAAGTCAAATTCTTATTTTATGAAAAATGAATGGTATAACCCCTTTCATTCGTTATTTCCTTGTTGCTTCCATCTGGTGGCAGTGGTATCAAAGTTGTATATTTGTATTTTACTTTACATTTGCACAGAATTCCTTTTAGTTGTGGTGTATATTACATAAATGATCCTGAGAACTAGTTAGATAAAAATTGATCACAAGATTATGATATACAGCATTTTTGATAGAGAGGTTTTATAAATACAGCAGAATATATGAAGAGTTAAAAATTTAAGAATCACTTCTGATATAAATGATTTCTAATGGAAATAGTCCAAGTTGTAACACCTTGGCAAACATAGAATCATGACCTCACACTTACTTTGTTATCGTTGTCACTTTCTTATCAATAATTTCATTAGGGCAGATGTAAGACTTGGATATTTTGTTTATTGGAGGCAGAATTTATTAATGTGAAAGAGATTATAAACTAATTTTTAAGAATTTAATGCTGCTTTATAGAGTTTATTGAATTTAGACCTGTAGTTGATGTGACAGTTACTTAGCAGGATGATGTGGCTAGTTTGCTGTAAGTCTGATATAAGAAGCCAAATTTTACCTATCCAAATTTTCATGACAGAAAAATGATACAAATGACACAGAAAAGAGGAATTATTAGTATAATAAAGATAACATAGAAGAAAGAAAAATAACACAGTCCTTTTTATCTCCTTTAACAGATATCCATATTTTCAGCAATCACTTCATCAAACTGAATGAAAACATCAGCACTGTTAATATATGACTGAACAAAGCTATATTTTAGATGTATACTGGGTCTCCAAAAAGTTCATAGAATACACATATTTAAAAAACTGCATGAACTTCAATTTGTTTGCTGTAAAATAAACTCATTTTAATTCCATTTTCCAAGTTGAAGTTTGAAGTCTCTGTGTGTGTGTATATATGAGCATGTATATATACACACATACATCTAACATACATACATTAATGTACTTAAAGGCACTTCCGAATGTTCATGGAAAATGCATATTATGAACAAACTATGCCTGGATTTCAATTTTTTTCAACAAAATAAATTCATACTGCAATTTTATTTTCCCACATACTTTTTTTTTTTTTTGAGAGATTTTCACTGTAGGGCGCGTGCACTCGCCAGACAGACAGAGAGAGACATAGAGACAGAAAGCGAGAAATCACCCCCCAGGGGGGATGGTCATGCAGCAATCCCTTCTCCTCCATTCTCCTCTCGGGATCTTGGGCACGCACGCACACGCGCCCGGCGTGAGTTTTAAGCTACCAGGTCCGGGACACGAACCGCGGTCGACTACGTGGGAATCCAGCGACATAGCCATTACGCTAACTGCTGGTTCCCCCACATACTTTTTGAAGTCCTGTCATATTATTTGTATATGAAATCTAATGCTTAGTGTTAATGAGAAAATCTAAGATTTATTTCTTACCTGAACCTGAGAAATTGTCTAAAGACCCGTCTGCTGTTGTTGAAGCTATTTCACTGCTGCTCATTGGCTCTGTTTTAACTACAAAAATAAACAACACATATCATATGTCCAATTAATAGTTATTTGTAAAGGCATGGCAGGGAAGATATAACATTCAAAACAGTGAGAAGGGAATCATTTTAAATACAATCTTTCTATTGGAACATAAATCAGATGACTATCCCTAACAAAGTCTTTTAAAAGAAATATTCATCTTTTTTTTCCCCTAAAGAAATATTGTAACACGTTGCCCTGCAAAAGAAAAAATGTAAACTTAAAGTAAGTAAATTCATTGTTACTTTACATATTTACTAAATTGCTCATTAAAAAATAGTTTCCCTCTCAAAATAATAGGTATGAAATTCTTTCCTAGGTTGGCAGAAAAATTTCTATTATTTGGCCAGAGTCAAAAACAATAGCACAAAAAAATTTAGAGTAGAAAATAAGTGGGCCTGTTCTTTTCATGATGGTCCAAGGGTGGGTACATTGACATGGACGCACGCAGACACACACACACACACACACACACACACACACACACACTCTGTCATGGTTATCGGCATGGCAGAAAAACAGAGCACTCAGATTAATGGATTACTGTTACCACCAAACCACATCTGACTGCTAATTTGTCAATATCTTACATGTGCTGAGAACCAAACACAGTAATTCTAAAGAAGTTTTCCCTTTCAAAATAATACTGAGAGTTGGGACCAGCAGGTAGCATAATGGCTATGTCACTGGACTTCTACGTAGTCGACCGCGGTTCGCGTCCTGGATCTGGTGGCTTAAAACTCACGTCGGGCGCGTGTACATGTGTGCCCAAGATCCCGAGAGGAGAATGGAGGAGAAGGGATTGCAGTGTAGCCATCCTCCCGGGAGGTGATTTCTCATTTTCTGTCTCTCTGTCTCTGTCTGTCTGGCGAGCACAAGTGCCCTATAGCAAAAAACTCTAAAAAATAAAATAAAATAAAAATACTGGGAGCAATTTGTAGAATACATATATGATCTTTGTGAAGTTCCTTTGTGCTATGAAATAACCTTTTGAGTTACACTACAGATTTTCTAAAGCGATCTACTTCCCTGATACATAATGGAATTATTGTTTCCCTACCAAACAAGTAAGCCTGACTACCTGAAAACAACTGTTTTTTCTCCTCCTAGCTATATATAAATGTATACATTTTTTTGTGGGGGGAGAGAGGTTTTTGCTATACGGTGTATGCGCTCACCAGAAAGAGAGAAACAGAGACAGAAAGTGAGAAATCACCCCCGGGGGGATGGCCAAGCCACAATCCCTTCTCCTCCATTCTCCTCTCCTGATCTTGGGCGCACATGCACACACACCTTGCCTGAGTTTAAGCCACCAGGTCTGGGACTCGAACCATGGTCAACTACATGGGAATCCACCAACATAGCCATTGCGTCAATTGCTGGTCCTGACAGGTCCTGATATATATACACCTGATATATTTTAAACCGAGGAGGTAGTGTAACTGTTGTCTCTAGAAACTACTGGTAAAAACGCCATCATTAAATTTTGTCTGGCTTACTTTGTAGAAGTTATTCATTCCCTATCAATAGGTTTTCACAAGAATGAACCACAATTTATAAAGGGTGTCTGAAAATCAGTAGCATGTTTCCCATAATGAAAGTTTCAACCAGAGTCTATTTGGGGAGCTTCTCACTAAGTAAACACATTCTGAAAGGGGAGATCACAAACACCAGGCAAAGGGCAAATCTGTGCAACTCCTAGACTTTCTGCTATTGTAGTAATGCACAATAAGTAGTTTTAAATTAAGCATTATAAATAGATGTAACAGATAACTGCTTTCAAAATGAATAAACTATTTAGGTGGATTCTAAACAAGGTTGGGAATAAAAAACCAATGAGTCTAATGGGAATTCTGCTGCCTGATAGTTTTAACATAGACCACAAATATGCTACAGTAGCTAAAGTTGTAATTGATGTCTTCATTTTTCTTTCAGTTGGTTTGGGAGAGAAGTATCAGTTAATACTAATAAACTCTGATACCAACCTATACTTTCTTCTGTCCATGCCATCCAGCAATGTAGTGAACTGGCTCTTCCGGATCATTATGCTGCCAAAGCTTTAGGAAACCCAGTGCTCAACCACTAATATACGCTTTTTGTTTTGTCTTTTAAATTTTTTTCATAGGGTGTGTGTGCTCACAGGAGACAGAAAATGAGAGATTATCAGACAGAAAATGAGAGATTATCCTCCAAGGGAGGATGGCCATGCTGCAATCCCTTTTCCTCCATTCTTCTCTCAGGATTTGGGGCAGGCATGCACACATGCCCAAAGTATTTTCAGGTTGCTGAGTCTGGGACTTGTGGGATCCAGAACCGTAACCATCATACCAACTGCTGGCCCACTAGCATGCATTTTTTAAAGTTTCCTGCTTAGTTGTCCACATCAAACCCTACCTTCCTTAAAAAAAATTCATGTAATGCCCCGTGCACAGAAAGTAATAGCTTTATTGCACTCTGTGCTGGACAGATCAGGAGGGGAATTCTGAACTCAGAATGAAATGCCACATGCTGAGCAGAAGGTTAACATCAGGTGCAATGGCAACAGGTTATGCAAAGTACATACTGCATGTCATGTTCACTATAGACATTATGATGATCCATTGTAAACAACTGTACAGGTAGCACTCAGAATATACTCTCAAACTGCCTAGGGAGTTGTTGTCCTGTTTCATGCAAAATCTGGGTTAGGAAGTCATCCAAAGTCACAGAGTAAGTGGCAGGAATGAAATTTTACTTTGGTTGTTTTTGACTCCACGGCTCACAATGAAAGGAATGGTGTAAGTGGTACTTTCTAATAGCTAGGGCTACTCTAAAACAGGGCATGATAGTGAGGGACAGAGCCACAGGCCATGGATAGAGGGAAATGCACAACCCCTACTGTCCCTGCCCTCTCGGATTCTTGGAGGTTCCAATCTAGAGAACTCACTGGAAGATCTGAAGTAGAAGTCTCATACCCAACTGTCAGGAAAAGATGATGTAGAAGGACATTTTTCACTGTGTGGGATTTATTCAGATTCCTTCTAAGTCTTTACCGAATTTAAGGTCTATGATTCTGTGGAGTGGACCATTACATTTTTTAATGTTCATTTATTTGGTTCATGAGAATGAAAGAGACTGAGATCAAGAGAGAAATATATGCACCCTCAACAGGATGCCATGATTCCCATCCTACACCCCACTTTCCCAGCTAGCCAGGACCACGGGGACCCAGGCCCAGCACATAGAGGCTAACTGGAGAATCAAACCTTTGACCTTCCCTGTGGATCCAGAGCGGTGAGCAGTGTATTAACACTATACCACTGAGCTGACTCTGGACCGTAAAACTACTTGACAAAAGCTTGACTATACCAAAATCATCCTGTTCCTGTACCCTAAAATCAACACCAGCTATTCTCCATATGATTACCTTAATAGAATGTACCTTTCACTCCCAAGAGGGACATTCAACTCTACCTGAAATCCATTAAAACTAGGCAAAAAAGGATACGAAGGAAACAAAGAGGATAATTTTTCCTTTAGGCCCCAAGTACATTGCTTTTGGTCATTGTTCAAATATACCCATCCATACACTAAGGAATAAAGACTCCCTTTTTCCAGTGAATCCAATTTTTTTTTTTTAAAAAGACTCAACTGTTGAAGAGAGAGGATGTACATAAGTAACTACCAGGATAATCATGATTTTATCAGATACTGTAATTGAAAACTCTGATCTCTGGAGACCTGAGGCCAAAAGACTGGTGCTCTATTGTGATGTGAAATAGTTTCTGAATGAAAGCTGAATGAACAGAGACTCCTTCTAGCTTTGTTGTCAACAAGCACATACCCAACAGGGAGAAACAAAGGCAAGAATCATCTATGGTGACCAAAATGCTCCTCATCCTTTCCTCACTAGTGTTGTCACATTTTCAAATACGCTGTAGATGACATCATAGTGCTTAGAATTTAACACCACCACACACTGAATTTTTTCTTAAGTCTTAGGGACCGAAGATACTGGGCCATCTGAGAACAACTATCCCACCTGAGCCACCTATCTGAAAGGAACAACCTCTCAGTGATATGTTCTGATCTAAATAACTGTAGAAGCACTCTATGGCCACCGTTCTCTTCCTTCCTTATATGACAGTAGTCTACTCAAAAACAACTTTGGTTCTCTTTTCCCCCATCCCACTCAGGAATCTCTTTTTCTATAACTTCGAGTTTCCAATCTTTGATCTGATTCTTAAGGAACTGCTTGTCCTTTTTTTTTTTTTTTTCTTTTTGGAGAGGTTTTAGCTACAGGGTGCGTGCACTCACCAGAGAGACAGAGAGCTAGAAAGCGAGAAATCACACCCCAGGGAGGATGGCCACGCTGCAATCCCTTCTCCTCCATTCTCTCGGGATCCTGGGCATGCACGCACACGTGCCCAGCGTGAGTTTAAGCCACCGGGTCTGGGACTCGAACCACGTTCGAATACATGGGAGTCCAGCGACATAGCCATTACGCTAACTGCTGGTACCAGGACCTGCTTGTCCTTTAAAAAGATTTAAAAGCAAGGCAAAGTTGTGCCACTTGTAATCCTAGCAAGTGGGGAGGATGGGCAGGAGGATCTGGATCTCCAGGCTGGCCTGGATAACATAGCAAGACCCTGTCTGGAAGAGCCGAGTGTGTGGTGTGTGTCCATAGTCCAGACATAATGAGACCCTAACTTAATAAACAAAACAAAACAAAAATCTCCAAACACACACATGCTACATTTTAAAAAATATATTCAAAATTTACTTTTCGTCCCTTCAACTTTCCTGGGCCCACCCAGCTGTTTTATTCATTCATGTGCCCAAAGTCTGAGCTTTGCGATGTTCCACATGTGCTCCAGACTTCCATCCCTCCATGCCTTTGAGGTTTGGTTTGGAAGTCAGAGAATCCAGTTACCTGCCTTCCAGTTACCTAGCATTTTTCTAAAACTTATTTGATCTCTTTGACCTAATCGATCAAAAATATGAAA